CTGTATTTTCTCTCTTTCTTAGTTACAATTATTATCAGTTACAATATATTATCATATATATATGAAATATTACTCACCATAAAAAGCACAAAAGCATGTCATTTGTGGCAACAAGGATGGATCTAGAGGGTATTAGGCTAAGTGAAATAAATCATAGAAAAACAGACTCCACATGATCTCACTTACATGTGGAATCTAGAAAACAAAACAAATGAACAAACAAAGCGAAGCAGAAACAGACACGTACATACAGAGGAGAAACTGATGGTTACCAGAGGGGATGGGGATTGGTGGGGGATGAACAAAACAGGTGAAGAGAATTATAGGTACAAACGTCCAGGTATAAAATAAATAAGTCACAAGGATGTAATGTACATATAGGAAACAGAGTCAATATAGTGTAACAGTGTGGTAGGTTGATGATGTTAACTGGTTTTATTCTGCTGATCACTTTATAATGAATACAAATATCAATTCACTGTTGTACACCTGAAACTAATATTATGTTTTAATTACAACTTGATAATAAAATATTCACCAGAATGTGAATATACTGTGACTTACTCCTTTCCTAGAGTGCCCTAAAATTCAGTTTTATGTTTGCCCTAGAAGAGAAACACAACCTAATAATCAAAGAGTAAAAGGGAATATCATTTAGCTTCCAAAAATTTTAAAGCCAGTAGATTGATCATTCTGACACTTTTGCTGTTCTTTATCCTATTGTGAGAATGATTTTGATCATATCTCCTTACTCAGTGCATGTACCATGCCTCTCCAGGCTCTGGAATAAGTGATGTTGAGATCTCATACTATTAGGGAAAATCTATGACTTATCCAAAGTACAGAATCTGCCTCTCCTCCTTCCACATCATCTCCTTCTCCATTTGGCTTGTATATAGAAATCACAATATTAAGCCAGTACTTTCAGATTGGCTCACTGTAACTACAAGCATATCTCATTTTATTGTTTCACTTCACTGTGCTTCACAGATATTGTGGTTTTTAAAATTGAGGGGATTGGGCAACTCTGAGTTGTCAGATGATGGTTAGCTGTTATAGCAATAAAGTATTATTAAATTGGATCTTCCCTGGTGGCGCAGTGGTAAAGAATCCACCTGCCAATGCAGGAGATACAAAAGATGTGGGTTTGATCCCTGAGTTGGGACGATCCCCTGGAGGAGGAAATGGTAATCTACTCTAGTACTCTTGCCTGGGAAATTCCATGAGCAGAAGAGCTTAGCAGGCAACAGTCCATGGGGTTGCAAACAGTTGGACACAACTGAGCACACACATACCCACACACACATTTTTATAAATTATGTACTTTTTTTAGACATATTGCTACTGCATGCAATAGCTTACAGTATAGTATAAATGTAACTTTTATATGGACTGGGAAACCAAGAAAAATTTGTGTGACTCACTTTATTGCAATATTTACTTTATTGCAGTAGTCTGGAACTGAACTTGCAATATCTTCAAGATGTGCCTGCACAAGGACATCACAGTCTCTTGTTTCGTTCAAGATGAGATAAAAATATATTACCTCATCCTTCATGTCTTTGTCTAGTCAAAGTCCTTAAGATGCCCCAGTAACCCTCAGAACCAAGAAGTAATGACTATCAAGTCCCTGTGACCCAGTACAGATTATGCATAACTTTCCTGGACAATCATCAGCTTTATAGAATACACAGAGTATTCTTGTGCGTGTGTTGATGGCATAAGTTGCCCCCAGATTGCTGCAATTATCTGTTCTGTGGATAGAAGGAAGAACTTGCCTGAGAAAGGATAGGGTCACCTCACTTAAATTCAATATTATTTCAACATCAGGTTCAGGTTGCAAAATAGCAAAAGCGGTGATCATTATATCACGTGGTAAGAAGTTTGGACTTTTTCTTGCCAGTAATGAACTCAGTCAGCAATTTATTTCTAAATGATTACCTTGGTAGCTGAATGGTAAATGTATCAAAGGAGAATTTAAGAAATGCTTAGAAGAAAAGTTCCTTCTTCGTGGAACTTGGTAACTTAGTGACTAAATAAGGCAGATAGGGTTAAGGGTAAGGCAGCACAGAAGGATGATGTCTAAGCTTTTGATTAAGTAAACTGGAGTAGGTTGTTGTAAGTTTTTCTGAGAGGAATGGTTTGGAGGTGGGGACCCAGAATTCAGTTGGGGTCATATTAATTTATCCATGCTATCTATGAAATACTGAGGTTAAGACATATTTTAGTAGTCAGCTGGATATGTAAATTTGAACTAGGCGGAAGTAAACATTTTCATGTGTTTAGGAAATTATTGAGAGACAGCGAGAGAGAGAGAATAAATAGAATGAGAAGAACTATTACCTGTGGATGAGTCCTTGGAGAACAATAATATATTAAGAGAAGAAAAGGGAGAGAATCCTGTGATCAATATTGAGAAAGAAGACTCAGAAAAGGTAGGATGTGATAACAGAAAGGTAGAAGGGAGTAATGCAAGACCTGATTAGCGTTAGTGTTTAATTTTAACTATCTTTAACTAAATCTTTGGACTTCCCAGGTGGCTCAGTGGTAAAGAATCCACCTGCAATGCAGGAGACATGAGTTTGATCTCTGGGTCAGAAAGATGCCCTAGAGAAATTGTCAATGCACTCCAGTATTCTTGCCAGGACAATCCCATAGACAGAGGAGCCTAGTGACCCCATGGGGTCACAGATTCAGACATGATTCCACAACTAAAGAGCAACTAAATCTTCAGTCCACAAAAAGAACCAGTCTACCTACAGAAGAAGAGATAGAGGGAAGAAGAGAGCAGAGAAAGGACATTTGCTCAGAAGAGCAAGACTATTTTCAGAATGTAAGATCTAGCTTTTTGATGAAGTCATGACTTTTTTCAGTCATTCGTCTCTACACTCTCATGAGTACTAGTCTACTGTCCATGTCCCTCCAGGGCCCAGGTACTCTGAAAGTAAGAGGGTCCTGAAAGAAGAGAAATAGGCAAGTAGGTAAGAGGGTAAGAGGCAGACCCTGAGGCTGTGAGCTGGATCTAGAGCCTGCCCCACAATTGATTTAGGAGGTCCAGATATCCTAGAAAAACTCCACAGAAGATATGAGAGAATGTAATATCTGAAACCTGTAATGCAGAAGGAACCTTACAGAGAACTAGGCTGATAGAATTTCTGCCATATTTTGATGCTGTTAATACTATCTCCCACATGGTTCCAGGACTAGTGAGTCAGGAGAAGCTTACAGAGAACTCAAACCATTTCTTAAATGCCCTAGACCAGAAGTGACTTTTGTCACTTCCACTTGGGAGTTCCTTGTCCTAAAGTGGAATTCAATCGCCTCACCCTAACTACAGAAGAAACTTGAGAAGGAGAAATGTGCACACGGAATCTCTTGAGAATTCTACTGTCTTTGCCATTCACCCATTGTTAGGATGAGAAAACTGAGGCACAAATAAACCCACTCAGTGCCCAAGGGCTAGTAACTGGTAAAAGCTAGACTCAAACTGAGACTGCCTGGCCCCAGAACCTGTCTTTTTGAGCACAAAACTGGTGTTATAGTTCCACAGGGGAGATATACTGAGATCCAGAGATTGCCTTGTGCACTGATCCGCCTGTCCCCATTCTATCCTCAAAAGTGACTGCCTCTTCTGTTTGAGTAATAGGGTATTTTTTACTTCATAATGTTTAGCTTACTATGGCCAGTCTTATTTGCTCTGCTCCATAAAATAAGAGTTTATCCTGAGCAAGGATTCATCATCAATGCATCGGCCAGAAAGAGCGAGACCAACCTCATAGAAGCCAGGCTTTCCCCTCAGGCCTATCAGGGTGTTCTAGCTGTCTCTGGCAGTCTTTGGTGGTGGCTTTGAGCAGAGGCACTTCCTCCCCACCCCCACCCCGGTTCAATGGAGGTTGGGAGGGGAAAAGTGCTGGTAAATTTGGGCCAGGATACTAGACATCCCTCATTCCCTAATGACACCCCAAAATGTCTCTAGAGGAAAACTAACAGAGCAAGACACTACCTGTGACAATCCGTGCTTATCCAGTGCAACATCAGTATCAACCCAGGGTCTACATCCCTGGACCAGGCACTCTACACACTTTACATTGTGCAAAACTTTCAAAGATTTCATGGGATAAATCTTACTGACAATCACTGGCTCTTCTACCTTTGAGATCTTAGAAGAGATAAATTGCTGCCACGGGCCATCTTATAAGTGGCTGTGCCAGGATTTAAGAGCAAGACTTTGGGGTTCCAAAGACCTTACATCCTGCTACCACACTAAGCAGTTTCTCTCAGAATCCTAAGTTAATGAAAGCAGCCAACATTGATTATGCCAAGCACTGTGCTATGTATATTTCAAGAATTATTTAATCTAATACTAACAATGACAACCACAAAGAGAAACCATAGGAGAGAGCTGTCACTGTTAGCACTCCCATTTCACAGAAAAGGAAACTGAAGTGTAAGAAAAGGATGTCCAAAAAGGTCAGAGAAAGGGTAAGAGGCAGACATGACCCTTAACCCCAAATCTCTCTGCCTGTAAATACAGGCTTTCTTAAAATGTATACATCTTTTATTGGAGGATAATTGCTTTACAATGTTGTGGTGGTTTCTGCCATACATCAACACGAATCAGTCACAAGGGATATATATATATACATCCCTTCCATCTTGAGCCTTACTCCCTCTGCCCCTAACCAAGCACAGGTTTAACTACTAGGTGATGCTGCCACCTGTCTCTCACTTAAATGAGAACACTGGAGACATAAGACTGGGAAAGGGGAGCAGGTTATCCACAGAGAACTTGTGAAAGTGCTCCATTTGGCTTTATTTGTTCATTCAAACCACAAGGCAGGCTGACAATAATTGGAAATTATGTGATACAGTTTGCTTTTCTAACTGGCTTTCTCTCCATGAGGGATTGTGATTGCTTTCTGCCCTGTTACATGTGTGAATCTCCTCCCCCTTTTGAATCATTCCATTCCTGCCAAGTTCTCCACCCAAGCTGTAGTCAGGAACCAAGTTCTGTTGTATAAACACAGAGAGAACTGAACTTCTAATCAGAAGAGAACTGAACTTGCAAAGTCCCCAACGTAACCCAAGCATCTCCTAGACAGTACCAGGTAAGGGACCACTTCTTTGGGTGTATGTGTCTGTGTGTGTTTGTCTGCCACAGGGCAGTAAAGGCAGTAATGGCAGTAAAGGGCAGTAAGGCAGTAAAGGCAGTAAAGGGCAGTAAAGTATGTATAGAGCCCTGAACATGAAATCTGAAGCCCTAATTTCAAATTCTAGCAATGCCCCTTACCGACCTGGGGCAAGTCTCTTCTCTGACACTTATTTCCTTTGTTGCAAAGTGAGGATGGTGAAACTGAGACAGGGATCAGAGGGAATACATGGTATGCCCAGCACCATGACTGGTATACAGGTGATTGATTTAATGTTAGATATTTGAATGTGGTAGGGTGTGGGAGGAGGGTGCTGAGGGGAGTAAAAAAGACCTAGAAGTTAAAACATTGAGAAGAAAGCTCCATTATGTGAAAATTTGTTCAAATCACTTAAGGTGAATGCCTTTTATTAACAGTCTATTTTTTAAATATCTAACTTGGTAGGGATTGACTTCAGTATTTTCTGGGAGTTAGAAGACACCTCAACATTTATTAAGCCCTTATTCTGTATCAGACACAGCACTGGGAAATTGATTATATAGATTATCTCACTAATCTTTATGAAGCATAATGAGTATTTTTACTCACTGTACACAGTGAGAATTATTACTATGCCCTCCAAGTCTGGAGACATAAATGGTGGTCGAGATCACTCACCTGGTACCAAGTGGAGCCAAAACTGGCTCTGTAATACTGGGATCCTCTATAATGTACTAAAAATGTTGCCTCATGAAATAAATAGCTTTTTCAGTCCAAATACTTGTGAAATCAAAGCTCTGTTGTAAGAACTCATCAAGGCACTCTGAACAAGTCGTATGAGGTTAAGGTTCATTTTAACTGAATTACCTCTTTAAAGATTCTGTCTTAAATATAGTCACATGTTGAGGCACTGAGTGTTAGGACTTGAACACATAAATTTTGATGGGGCACAATTCAGCTTATATTAAAGAGATAATTTCCTCATTATTTCTCTTTATGTTGTCTTGGTTTTAGCCACTTATTAAAGGGTTGTATGGAATGTCCTTGAGTATTTTAAGGACAATCTGTGGCTATGTAAACACCTGTGTATAAAATTAGCAACTGAGTCTGGTGTTCTTGCTCCAATGGGATCACGCATGTGAAGAGAGGTATGTGTTGGAAAAAAATAGAAGGAAGAGCAGGATTTTAGAACTATCTCTGCTACTAAATTTGCCTTGCAACTTTGCGGAAATCCCTATCCGTCTTGGAATCTGGCCCTATGGCAAAGATTTTAAGCTCAAGTGTCAACAAACATTAGATAGGTAGAGTCAGTGGAGAAGCAGGTAGCTGTGGGAAAATAGAGAGTGATGGACACTATGTTGAATTGGAGAACATTTCATTTAATGAAGCAGGCAATTTTCAGGCTTCCTAGGTGGCTCAGTGGGTATAATCCACCTGCAGTGCAGGCAGCACAGAAGATCCCCTGGAGGAGGGTATGGCAATGCACTCCAGTATTCTTGCCTGAAGAATCCCATGGACAGTGGAACCTGGCAGGCTACAGTCCATAGGATCTCAAAGAGTTGGATATGACTGAAATGACTTAGCATGCACACAGGCAATTTTCAGCTCCTACCAGTTGATGCCAGATTGAAATAAAAGCTTTCCAGGCCTTCTAAGTTTTCAAGAGAAATCTTCAATTCATGTTTTAAAGAAAATCTCTCTGTGTTTACATATTGGCAATTCAAATTATTTTTCTCCAAAAGGTGAGAGTCAAACATCTTTGGGTCTTTCTTCGCTTAAGTGTTCTGATAAAACAAAAGACAGTGGTATTTTAAAAAGAAGGGGAAAAAAAAAGAAAGGCAGTGCTGTTGAGGCAGTACAAGTACAGACTGGAAAAGAATTTCTAGACACAGAGTATTGCACACAGGCATGAGTTTATTAAGAATAAAGATAAAGTGGGCACTGCGAGCACAGTGGGCCGACAACTCCTAACAGACTAGGGAGAATCAACAGTTTCTGTGGGTTACTAGCCAATTTTTATGTCTCAGAACAACAACAAAAAAATTCCTGCTGGAAGGTTGGTATTAGATGATTGGTTAGGGCACTGTAAAATGAGCACTGGGGTGGGTATTTTTGCCTAATATAAGTCAAGAAGCCTGCTGGTGATGATCGGGGGGGCTTTGGCAATGTTACAAAGGGGCTCAGTCAGCTTTGGATATGACCTTGGTTCTGGGCTCCACTTCCGTGGCCTCGGTACACAGCCTCACACCTGTGGCCTGGGGACAAGACTCAACATTCCCTGCTCTTCTTATTAGTAAGACACACCTTCGGCCCCTTAACACTCTGCTCATGTCTAACTAGCTGCCTATCCAGCTCTCAGGTTATGAGGATACAGGTCATTGGGAAAGAGATGGAGACCATCTCTGGCTTCTTTCTGCTGGACAGGGGCTTCATGGGGTCCCAGGTCCCAATGACTGCTCTCTGTCAAGGTTTACCTGCTGAGGGAGATGAGAGCCCATGGAATGACAAGGCAACTGTTTCCAGTGTAGTCCATGTGCCAACCAGCTGATATCCTTGTAGCATCATCTGGAGATTTATTTGTATTCTAGAAGAAAACAAACTTAACAAGAAGATTAGGGATACATGTCCCAAAGATTACATGTCCCAAGGGATCTAGAAGAGGGGATAGTAAGGAGCACCAGGACAAGACATTGGTCTGTGATGTTAATATTTCTCTAGGTATGAGATGATGCAAGAATTGGGGTTCATGAGAATATTTTCTTGAAAATATCTATCTGAAGGCCTGTCCTGTCAGTTTTTCCCAGAGTGTAGAATGCCTTATTTTTACTTTCTACCCTGAACTCCTTTCAGAGGGTGGTGAATGTCCGCAGCTCCAACGGCTCCTGATTTAATCTTTGTAGAGGCAGATGGCAAGTGCCAATTTCCAGTCAGCAGGGCCCTTCATGGCTATAAATTTGGTCATTGGTTTAGGGGCTTTTTTTTTTCCCCATTTATTTTTATTAGTTGAAGGCTAATTACTTTACAACATTGCAGTGGTTTTTGTCATACATTGAAATGAATTAGCCATGGATTTACATGTATTCCCCATCCCAGTCCCCCCTCCCACCTCCCTCTCCACCCCATCCCTCTGGGTCTTCCCAGTGCACCAGGCAAGATCATTTCATCCCACAATGATAGGAATGCTCATTCCCAGGTCTAGTGAAGATTTTTCTAACGGTCACTTAATATGCTATTGTTGGACTTGATCATGAAAATAGTAAAAGTTCTGGCCAATACCTGCCTTACTAGTAGTCTCTTATAGTCCAGGAAAGCATTCCCTCTTGTTGATTCTTCCCATATCTAGAGTTATGCTGCTATAATCATTGATCTCATATGGAACTATATATCATTTTATTAGAGACTCAGTCACACATTTGGTAATGTAAGAGATAACAATTTTGTGTAAGAGACAGCAATTTTATGAAACAGGCAGTATAGCAAACAATAAAGGTAGCAGTAATAGTAAGTTTACAAGTAAAAATTTAAGAACTTTTATCAGATGCAGTCCAGTATATCCCAGGTTGCCTGATTTAGTGTGTTAAATGACTGCAGCCTGGTGTTAATCTCCTGGTTGTAGATCATGGAGCATCTGATCTTTATCCAAAGATTGACTGTAAAGCTAGTCTTCAAAAGCAAACTTAGAGCATCTTTCTATTAATTCAGTTAAATCTTGTAACAGAATAACATCTTGTTGCAAAGGACTAACTGGAAAGTGAGTCTTAGTAAATACAGACCTTAATTAACAAAACTAGTATTTACCATTCACTGAAACACAGTTTTTTGAAATTACCCCCATTTTTATTAAACACAGCCAAGACTAATTTGTTTTTAAAATAAATTTGGTCCTTTGACTATAGATGTCATAGGCCTGTCATCAGATTTTACTACAGTGGATTATTTTCTCTTTTGGAGGTCCCCAAAATACTTTGAGATTTCTATACATTCAAGACACAGTCTTTTTATTTACCTAGTAAGGCTGTTCAGAACCCAAGTGTCTCCAATTTCTGGAGGGACAAGGCGGAGAGAAAGGAAAAATGTTTTAATTTTACCCACAAGTATAAATGACCAAATTATTTTGAACCATAAGGAGCTTGAGGAGAACAGCTTCTTTATATCTAAAAACAAGGATTAGAAGCCAAGTAGTATGTCAGACAAAAGGTCATAAAACTTATAATTATATTTATTTATTTGATCCTATGTAATTAATTTCTGTTCTTCTGTCCTTGCCTGATGATTGAGGATGATAGTGACAGTGATAGTTTTAAGAAGTTTGTGAAGCCTTTATTCAGACTTGCATGATTTGTTCAGTGAAGTGGGTGCCTTGATCACTGGAGATTGTAAACCATATACCTAAGTGGAAGACACATTTTAAACATTTTTTTTTCTCCATTGTGAGAACATCAACCTTGCAGCCAGGAAAGGCTTTACCCCATTAAATGAAAAATGAGGTTTATCAAGGAGCCAGGAAAAGTCAAGCAGCCATTTTGGATTTCCCATGACTCTGACTATTTGACTTACAGTCATTGTTTATCCATTTTAAATTCCCTGATTTAGGAGTAGATGAGGGGTTAATTTTTGTAGAAGCAGAATGAGCTTTGTGTGTGTGTGCCATAACCCTCATAGATCATTGTGGAATAATATTTATTTTATCACAGTAACAATGTTTTAAAAAATAAATCAATTAAGGGCAAAGAAATTCACACAGTCCATTATCAAAAGCAGCATTCCAAGAAAAGTTTGTTCTTTTAACAAAGAGAGAAAAGTCAAATTCCAGTTTGGTACCAGCTAATATTCACTGTGAAACAAAAGTTATTCATTTAACTAAAGTAATAATAAAAGATTTTAAAGGCAATTCAATGTCTTAAGAAACTTGTACCATGCACAAAGCTCTCTTCTTGGGGTCCATATCTCACAGATCTTCTCTTCACTATTTTCATCAC